GGGGGGGGGACAGAGGGGCTTAAACAGTCATCTGCCACAAGCCATGATAACAGACTCCAGTTACATCCCAGTGCTCTAATTATGGAGACTAATCCCACAATTACAGTGTATATATACGGGGTAAACAGAGCATTAAACCCTTAACTGCACATGATAAATATGACAAAAGATTCGATGCAACAAAGGGCTTCAAATTAATTTCTGTTCAGTACTTGCTATTGTTTCAGAAAGATTTGTGCCTGTTTTTGTCGTACAGTTCTGCAAAGGCAAGGTCACACTCAGGCTGTGCGTGCTGATGAATAAAGTAAGCTGGGGGATCTGGCCTAAAGATCATATCAGGAGCCTTTGCCGTTGAATATGTGTCTCCTGATGCATTTATTTGAATTTGATGTCATCTCCATATGTTTGCCTTAACATCCTGCAGCTTTAGCTCAGGACTGAAGGCACAAATATCTTTATCCTGATATGATCGTTTATTTTATTCTGAAAGGTCAGACTGGTGATGGACTTTGGCTTTTCACTGGGAGCTGTTCTTTGATCTATAGTTCGATATTTCTCTTTTAGCATCTTACCCACGACTATCAAACGTGACAGAGTTGAGGTTTGGCAGGAAAATGCCCAAAATTGTTTTAAAAAATGTGTTTAAAATTGCAATGAAATAATTAATCACTCCGACCTTTAATAAAAACGTGCTGCGTGTGGTGTCTTAAATATGTCTACATCTGCGACGTTGACATGTGACTGTTTGTTCTGATATTTCAGGTGTGCCCAGCGAGTGCTTTTGTTCATCCACTATCCTGTTATCAGTTTATTAAATTACAATGCAATAAAGATAAATAAGAATAAAAAATAAGGCACACCTCTAAGATGCCTACTGAGTCGAGTGATAGCTGTCCTTAATCTGTCACAACTATTCAAGCTTCTTCTAAGTTCATGATGAGTACGAATGTTTGGACAGCGCTATTATTATTTTTTCCTCCAGTGTCACGATGGGTGTGATCCTCTTGTTCTTACTTGGGTTTTGTGTATAACTGGTTCTTGTACACAAACGTCAGTTTGTTTCACAAGCAGCTTAATCTGTGGTGAGGACTTTATGCAACTTGACTTTTCATTCACTAGATTTTGAGATGCTGGAAGGTAAAAAGAATTCAGCAGTTTATAAGCCCCACACTTTCTGCTACTGTTTCCATTCTTTGTAAATGGCACCATCTGTTGAGCATCACCTCCAAACTGTTGTGTTTTGCTATCATTTTTCTGTAGATGACTAGAAGTTTAATCACTTCTGGTCATCTGTGTGTTGTTTAAACTAGGCAAAAATGTTTGCAGGTGCTCAGCTGCTTCAATATTCTTTCGTGTAATATCGAGCCACATGTGTGTGTGTGCATGCGTGTGTGTGCGTGTGCGTGTGTGTGTGGGGTGGGCTTTGTTCCTCTGACCTACTTAAGTTGGTTACTTTGTCCTCCCACTCTGATGAGAGTGGGGCACACACACTCCACAGCAAGCCCTTCAATCGGCCAAGGACAGATTCATACTGAAGGGTTTAGCAGTCTTATTGATACAGCAATATCAGAGCGATTTTGGAAAACCATCTTTGTATTGAGTTTTATGATTCGTTTGAGCACTGTAGACTAAATTCCATCTGTCCTTATGCTGTTTTGAAATCTGATGAGTCGCCATCTGAGAACTTAATGTAATAAACTCTAGCTATCATGCGTGGCACGATCCCTGTGGGACTAAATGGAAAAATTGCATTTTTGATTTGGACTCTCAAACAGAATTTGGCCTCACTGTTTGGTAATTTCTTGTGTGCGTGAAGCTTGGGCACAGTAAAAGGGTCAACAACCCACACATACATATACTCATCCACCCGTCCTAAGTCCTTGTCTGTTGCAATGTATGTCACATTGTTATTGTGGGCTGTCTGCTAGCTGTGATACAGGGGGTGGGAGGCAGGTCTGGATCTGATTATCATGCCTTTGCTAATGCAGACACATGAGCTGTTGTTGTTCTAAGAGATGAGAGTGCTGGAGGAAATATAAGTTACATTTATTTTTCTAACTTTTCTGTCTGTGTTGTCTGTAAGAAATACTGACTTTAAAATATTTATTTAGATTTGACGCTAACATTGCTTTTATGAAGTTACAGTTGTAGCTCACTGGCTCAAAGTGTCTTGGTTCTATAATAAAACCAACAAGGAACCATTAACTACTAATGCAAGCTGTGTAGACTATTCAGAAATAATTGCAGTACCTTCAGCTAATGCACAATTTATAGTATGTGGGTATCTTTTTGCATTGGTTTCTGAATTTGCAGAGAGAGCGATTATGGGACTGTAACCAGAATGTGTAAGTTGTCCGATTACCACAAAACCAAACCCGTCTGCTGGCCTGCAAGATGGACTAGAACTAGCTAGTTACAGCGACTGAACTTTCAAAATAAAGGCCTTTTCACACCAGGCGTGTAAAATCTGTGCAAATATTTCTGTCATTAAAAAATATTTCTCCGACCTCCCATTTTTAATGGAGCCGTTTACACTGACTGCGTAATTTCACTGGACAAATTTGCAGCATTTGAACCAAGCTCGATATTTCATGTCATTTTTACAGTGCATAATGAGAGTGACGGGATTTTCCATTAGTAAATCAATCATGTCATCATATTAGACGGATGGAGAAATGAACTGAAATCACAGAATATACCTGAGCAACTGTCACTGGCCAATATGAGTCAAGTGTTATCTGTGGGAAACATGCTTGGGTGACATCCTCTAAAAGCCAAAAGTCTGTACTCTGCCATGTGCAGGGTGCTGATTGGTAGAAAGGTCAGCTTGAACACAAGAGGATAAAGTCCAGGAAAAAGCAAGGAAAACATTTAATATTCAGAAAGCGTTGATGAGAAGCACAGACAGTGGCTTCAGTTGAGAGTTTTCTTATTAACTTGTTTCGCTTCACTACAAAGACGTTCTTTGTCTATTATGACTTCTGTCTTCTTGTTTATCAGAGGCAGAATAAAGGATCAACACTGTGAACATGAGTGGCCAACGTTACTGTTTTTTCACACATTTTTGACACTAACTCCTTGTGACGATACACAGCTGTAACATGTGGGTGTGAGTCTGCAACGTACCTACCAAGACACTACCATGGATGGTATTTTTATGTGTGGGTCATTGCTCAGTGTTATTGTGTAGTCAGATCTGGACTATCACCAAAGTCTGGCGCCCCGCTCTGCTCTAACATTAACTCCAGCAACTCCACTAAACAACCTCCAGACGCCTTTTACATCTAAGACATTAGAAGCAGAGGAGCTCTGGAGGATAGCTGTAGATTAGTCTTATAAAACCAATGAATCTCTTCTATGTTTTTTTGAAGGTGAACTAGGTTTTAATTGCATGCATTATGTTCTAAAAACTGTTCTTGTTAAAATGCGCGGAAGCCCTGGTGAAGCAAAGTGGTCCTGAAAACAAGTGACTGCGCTCAGGCTCAGCCTGCTCTGCATGAAGAGAAGTTTGCTGCCCTGTTGACATGCACAAGCATAGCTAATGTGCTCTGACTGGATGCAGTCTGAACAGATGACAACTGGAGATTTATTTTTAAACATAACATTTGAAAACATCCAGATAAATTTCTTTAAAAGTTAGTAAGTGTAAGCGTGTAAGGATCACTGGGATGGAGACCCAAAAGAAAGACAGCAGAGAGGAAAATGAGCTCCAGACTGGACTGGAAAATTGCTTCCCCCTCACTGAGTTTGTCCACTGTGTCAGCACCTTTGGCTGTTGACCAGACATTGTTTTGTCCTTTAAACATCTTGCTGGGTTGCTGACCTCGCACACAGAGGCTGGCTCCTTCACAATTAAAGCATTTTTCTGGTTCACTAGAGAAATAGTGTTGAGGTGAACAGGTTTTGTTGGTTCGATCAGATAAAACTTTCATCTGTTTTTCTTAATGTGTTGTTTCAGGTGTTGTGTAGCTGCAGAAGACTGAGCGAACCATGGCACAGTTCCCAACCACGTTCACAGGTCAGTATTTACATGTGGCTGACTTAACAGAGAGCTATAGTGAACGTTTTCTCTCAGTCAAGCTAAATGACAACATCAAGAGTTCATCAGACGAACCACATCTTTGAAGTAGAATAAAGTCTCTCACATGACGCCCTCTAAATAGTGTGTTAGCCGTACAGCAAAGCTGATATTGTTGCTACTTTGGATACTTACATTGTTCTTATATTTTCAGATATATTTGTTTTTGCCCATTTTATGCCAAGTAGTAAAACAATTAATTTTACTTTTCTGGTAATATAGTTTTGGGGAGCACTGTAGCTGAGTGGCTATGAGTGGATGTAGCTCCTGTCAAAGAAAACAACAACCAAGTTGTTCTAAAATTGTAGCCAAAGAGACAGAGATGGAGGCAAAGGCAGACTAAGTCGAATAGTTAAAAAGCACACAGACTGAGATTTGTCAGACCATAGACTGTGAGCTGTCACCCAGAACACATTACACTGAATGAGGACCAGCATTGCTTGCGTTTTGTCATCAGGGGAACATGCTGGAAATAAATCTCTGCAGCTAGAAGCATTTGAGGCTGAATGAATGTTTGTACAGTTTTTTCTTTAATAAAAATAGAAGAGAATTAAAAACACATTGCCAGCAGGATAATTGTTGTGTTTCTGTTGAAATGTTGTGGCAGAAGCTTCCAGCACAAAAGACAGCCGACAAGTATAATTTTTATCAACAGTTACAGAGAAATGACTTTCAGTCCGCAGTGATTTGTCTTTCATTTTCCAATGAACTAGAATGACTCACTAAACATTTAACTCCCTTCTCTTCCAAGTAAATGGAAGTAAGACAAATGGTAGAAAGGTAGTGCGATTTACAGAGAATATGGATTTATGCAAGAAAAGATGGATATTGTGTAGTTTAAATTCCTGTTCTTGTATTTTAAATGTATAGTATTAAAAAAGGGCATACACACCATATATATGTAGTGTGCAAATACATGAGATATTCTTTTTTTCATCGTGTGGTGTCTTTTATAGTTATAACAAAACTTTTGCACCCTGTTCCTTCTTTTATCTTCTTTCTTAATTTCCTTGAATTATTACTTTGTCCCTTGTGGGGCTCTCTGTGGGATTTTCCTGGGTTTGCTGCACTGTGTAACGTTCTTCAGCAGTAGAAACATGAATGCCATCAGCAGCGGTCACTTTACTTTAGTCAGCTGTGACGTGTTCAGAAAAGCTGTGGCTGCACAATGGCAGAAACTGAAAGGCTGTAAAGAGAAGAGAGCCACCAAAACTGCAAAGTTACCGCCTGTCACTGTAACTGTGCTGGAACTTATCTTATCTTTGTTAAATAATTTTCTGTATCACAGTTAACACCAGCACGTTGTGAGGGCTGGTGAAGCAGAAATGGCTTTTTAAGTAGTAAACTCAGTGATGAGAGAAGCTCACATTATTTCTGTCAACTGCTGATGAATTGGTTGCATTCGCATGTTAATTACGCACTCAGTTCCTCATCCATTCATCTCTGAGCTGGCACTCTGTCCAACCCTTATAGGAGCTATATAACAGGAAGTGAGACTCATGACTAATGCATTCCTCTCAAGCCTCCCTTTTCTTCCTGTCTGTATCTGACTTGGGCTCGACCTCTGTGGTTGTAACTGGCTCTGTGTGTGTTTGTTGTTTCTTATGGATGCGTTAGGTCCAGATGTGTTTCTGATCTCTGTGGACGAGAGAGCCAAACATGACCAGCAGTTTCACAGCCTCTCTCCGACTGCTGGGGGTTTCATCACAGGTAACACTCTCTCGCTCTCACACAAACATGGGTAAGGGGTGATAGGGGCATGCACAATGCCAGTGTCACGTGTTTTATTATTGGCTCTGTGGGGAACTTGCTGTCCAGGTGTCAAATGTCCTAAGTGCTCGATGTGCGTTGTGGGAAATGTGGTTGGATCAAAGAAAACTGGACTTCATTAGGAGAAATCATCACAGCCACTAGAGCCATGACTGCAATTTAATAGTAAATTCATCCAGTTCAAAATCTCAATGTGCCTCACAAGTACAGCTGCTCAGATATTTGCTTAAATGCTGTTATTCGAAGAATAAAGACAAACTTTAACTGTAATTTAACACATAATGAGGCAAAGCTTCATTCAGGCTTCAGACTGCTTTAAACGGTCACTCTCAGGCAGCTGTTTCTCCTTTCTCTGTGTGAGTCAGTGAGAGTGGATATCTTTGACCGAAAGAGCTCCACCCCACGTGCTCTTCCCACGCTGTTTGTGACGGGCAGCAAATCAGAAGACAGTTGACTCACAGGCAGTTGATGTTGTACTTAAGAACAGGTAGCATGTGCCAAAAGCAACTTCACAACTGTTGCTTTGGTCAGACTGGACGCACAAGTTTTTCAAGCGGGCCGGTCTCTGTGTGCACTTTAATGATGTGCAGGCGCACAGACTCCCGTGATGAGGCAGACGGAGATTGTTGCAACCAAAGAAATAAAACTGTTTCCTGTTTCAATGACTTCTGCTTCTCTTCCAGTGCTGATGCGATGATTTCTTTTTCCTGAGTCAGGCATGAGAAAAAACGGTCACATGGCTGAGTTGCTGTCACAGTTTTCGGGAACAGTGATCAAAGTGCCAGGCTTACCCGAAACATTAAAGGGAGAAGGAAAAGAGCTTGTTTCAGACAGAGGATGAGCTGAGGAGATGAAGAATCAAGGGGCAATTAACATGCTAAGGAAACACTGCCTACAAAACCTGTTACTGTTTATCTAGAGCTTCTAATCTATTTGTTTTTGTAATCGAGTAACATCAGGAGGCAGTTTCTCACCTCCTGGAGTTGGACCATTGTTGTCTGCAGGACCCTCGATCTAACCCTTTGGCATTGTTTAGCATCTACATGTCAATCACACCCCGCTGATCACTGCCCTGCTTCTGCTTGTGTACCTGCACAAGAGCCATAGCTCACCAATGATTGGCTTATCTCCCAGACCCTACCCCAGGGTTGGAAAACGGGAACTTGAGTCCCAGTTTAAGAGAAAAAGAAAACCAAAAAAACCAACAACGTTTTGGACTGTGAGTCATGTAAAGCTGCTTTAGTTCAAGAATGAAAAGTTGGAAGTCATTTCATATCATAGATTATGTTTTACTGATTCAGAGAAACTTCAATAAGGTTTGACTATCTGCATTTTATGATTTAGTTGACATTGTAGTAAAGGTCAGAGGTCGTTTACATTTAGATTCTCTGGGCTCTGTGGTGATCTCACACTCTGTCTGTCTGTCTGTCTGTCTGTCTGTCAGGTGACCAGGCCAGGAACTTCTTTCTCCAATCAGGGCTTCCCCCGCCCGTCCTCGCCCAAATATGGTGAGTCACATAGCCAGGAATTAGTCAGCTCATTTATTACTCTCCTTTAAAAGTAGCATTTCAAAGAAGTTGCAGACTATTGTCTAAGATTTTTTTTTTTTTTTGCACCAGTGGTTTTTAATCCATGTCAGATTTTACCCCTCGTTAATGTTTTAAAGTGCTCATGCTCTGTGTGAATCTGCAGGGCTCTGGCTGACATGAACAGCGATGGCCGAATGGATATCCACGAGTTCTCAATCGCAATGAAGCTCATCAAGCTGAAACTACAGGGTCACCCTCTGCCTCCATCGCTTCCTCCCAGTATGAAACAACCCCCGCTACCTTTACCCCCACAGACTGGTTTTGGTAAGGCTGACACTTGAACTAATTCCATGAAAAATAAGTGAGCACCTTCCTGTTTTTCTGAGAATCAGCAATACCTGTTACTGTATTTATTCAATTTATAAAGAAACTAAATGAATCTCTTCTACAAGATGAGCCGATTGAATATGAGACCTTTCATTTGATATAAACCTGTTTTGATCAGCCACAAATTTATCTCCTGGACCTTTGATGTTACGAGGGCTCAGAAGTGTCAAAGAAAAATCAGTTGGATCAGATCGTTGGAGTCAGGAGAGTTCATGGGGCATCTTCATTTCTTAAAAATACTGCAGATAACTTATAATAAATAATTGTCTTTTAAATTAACTCATATATAGTGATAATGGTCCTGCCTCCTTCACTGTGTGTACAGACAGCACGTGTTGTGTGCACACCAGCGCCTGATCATCTTGTCTTCTCGCTCTGTTTTTAACTCAGGCATGCCTCCCATGGCACCCATCGCTACTCCTCTGCCCGGCGTGCCCCCGCTCCCCTTGCCTCCTCTTCCCGTCGGGGTTTCGCCCCCACTCGTCTCGTCTGCGCCGCCACCCCTCCCACAGCCCATTGCCAACGGAGCTCCTCCCACGGGCATAATACAGCCCATCTCAGGCTTCTCCCACCCAGGTAACAGTAGAGAGCATTGTCGTCACATCTTTGTGATGCGTTCCATCGCTAAGCTTGTATTTACACATAACAAGCTTAATGTATTTACATTTCAGACATTCACACGCTCTCTTATCTCTGCATGAATGCTTTTCTAAGACACGGGTCACTATTTTGTTTTTAAGTTAGAGGCTTCTTAGTAAAATTACACAACAACACATGCAGTTCACCAAGTCCTAAAATGCACTTCTCTCTGTCGCTCTCAGCTCCCTCTTCGTTTAATCGGGCCAGTACCAAGCTGCAGAAGGGCTCGTCCTTTGATGCTGCTGGGTAGGTCAAACAACCCAAATGTTTGCACCATTCTGAACTTGGTGAATTTAGCTGTTACGTTCATGTAAAAGTGCTGTGCACTTGAACCTATAGTCCTTCGTAGCATGTAGTTTTTTCTTTAATTATAAAATCTCATTGGTTTCTCATTCTTGCTTTTTATTCTGTTGTCCTCCTCCCAGTGCTCAGCCCCCTGCTGACTGGGCAGTTCCTCAGTCCTCCAGGCTGAAGTACAGACAGCTTTTTAACTCCCATGACAAGATGATGAGTGGACACCTCACTGGTACTCACACACACTCACATGCTGTTGATTATCATCATGTTTCTGTTATGTTTGCATGTAAATGTGTGTGTCTTTCTCTACATTTGATGTACGTCTGTGTTTCAGGTCCCCAGGCTCGCACAATCCTGATGCAGTCCAGTCTTCCTCAGACCCAGCTTGCCACGATATGGTGAGTACACTTGAATTTAACCCTCTATATCAGAACAGAAAACAGCAGTCCTTTAAATCTGACTTTTTCCTTTCATGTTTTTCCCCTCAGGAGTCTTTCAGATATTGACCAGGATGGAAAACTGACAGCTGAGGAGTTTATCTTGGCTATGCACCTCATAGATATGGCTATGTCAGGGTTACCGCTGCCCCCTGTGTTACCTCCAGAATACGTCCCACCATCATTCAGGTAAATGCTGAACTAAACACGAGGATGTTACTGACAGTGTGCTGGTCACTTAAACAAGAACCAAAAAATCAACCTCCAAACATTTAAAAAAAGAAAAAAGAAGCTAGAACTGAGCACAGAGGTTACATGTGGTCATTAGGGGTGCAACGATACACAAAAATCACGGTTCGGTACTTTGGTGTCACGGTTCGATATTTCTTCGATACAAAAAACAATGTTCATGCCTTTTTAATTTGTCATTTATTAAAATTATAAATATATATTTTAACTCAAAAGTACAGTTTTTAAATTTAATGTTGCTGA